AAAGCCTTTAGCCCAGACTGAGGTTTTTAAAGGGATGGGCAAATTAAAGGGATCCACAACTAGTTGGACATGTTGGCCAAAATATGTTATAATTTAATGTCAAGTTAAAAAAAAAAGGCCATTTTTGATATGTAAAAAACATTACTTTAAAAATGAAATATATACCCTGTTCTATTTTTCATACATAAAGGCAGCCATTTTTCATTTGGATGCTGCATTGATGATGTAATTAGATCATAATGGACAGGCATGGTTGGCCTTCTTGTGTTTAGACTGTAGGTTCCTGAGTTGTTTTTTATCGTACTACATTTCAATGGTGTAAATTCAGACAACGCCACATTCCCTCACGGTTTCCATGAGCCATTATACATGGGATATTTGATAAAACAAAAAAGATCTGCGCCTGATCTAATGTTTACTATATTAGCGCTACAGGACCTAGCAAAGATATTAGAGCAGGGGTCCTCTACATTTTCCTGGCCAAGGGTCCCCAAACTGATGGCGAGATGGAGCGGGGACTCCCATATTATTTATATTAAACTGTATATATCAAACTGGTCCTATAGTCACTCTAATGTAATGAAAGTAATTTATCCCTGGGATTATTAAAGTATTTCTGATTCCTGGTTGATGGGACAGGTGTTGTGAATGAAACGGTGTCCAGCTTGAAAGAGCTCTTGTGTTTACTACAGTGTGTTGAATTCATGTTAATGTGGATTTAAAGACATTTCAATTAGTGGAAGATATTGCAGGGGGGAATATAAAAAAAAAAGCCTAATCAACCAAAACTTTTGCGACCCCCATGCAGTACCTCTGTGGACCCCCTAGGGGTCGCGGACCCCCTGTTGAAGACCTCCATATTAGAGCAACAAACACAAGCAACATGGTGACGTCCGTTTAAACATACTTATCTAAATATAGATTACAGTAGTTTTACTGTATTGCAATAATATTTAAAATAAATATCTTTCATATAAAGGCCATTGTTACAACTAATTGTGGCTCCCCTTAAAGCCTGGTTTATACTCAGAAACCAGGTTGTCTGCATGTGTGTCGCAGTTAACACAGATATAACCCCCCCCGACCCCCTTCTGCAGACCACAGAAAGTGCCGCAGGGACGAGAGAAAGGAGGCCTCTGACTGGTCAATACTACAGCTGCTCTTCACTATGTGTATTTCCTGTTTGGTACCTTACTAGCTTGTTTTGTTTGTATGACCGCCATCGTGGAAAACGACTCTGAAGTTGGACCAGCTACGCTGGGACCCTTTTTCCAGCTGTATCCCCGTTCTTTTTATGTCCGTCTGTCATGTCCGTCCATTGTCACACAAACTTGCCCCCACTTCCTCACCGCCTTGGCCGTAATTATGGCGTGGCATAACATAGCGCAGGCCACTCTTCAATATTCAATAAAAAATATCTGCATCATACCTGAGACAAGCTCACTGCCACACACTGCTGCAAGAGTATACACAGCCATTAATTCTGACTCTGCTCAAAAGGGCTGAATACAGATGCAGGCCACACTTTTAAGCTTTTGTTGTTTTTTTTACACAATACATATTCCACACAGCACCAGAAGTAATGACCTGTGAAAATAATTAAGAACGGAAGAGTTCAAAGATTAAGTGTTGGTAAGCCTGTAGCGTCTCCTTCATTTGCAGCCTGGGGGCAACATTATCCCCCTCCTCCTGCTGACCCACCAAACAGTCACAATTACCCTGTTTTTGCTGCCGAGATACAACTCTGACTATTGATCTGTCTTTCCCAACCTCCTAAACTCTACAGGAAAAAACAGATGAGGGCAAAGGTCCCTAAAATCTACCAAGCGATGAATTTGGCTGACACAGTTCACAGCGACCCCCCCCCCAGGTCTTCATTCACAAACACAGAGATTCCTGTTCCCCCTCTCAAAGCTTTATGTTGACGCGAACCTCTGAAGGATGCCAACATCTGCAAGGCACTTGCTTTTAACTCCTCAAATACAGGTTTATTCAGACAGTCTATTGAACAGTTAGCCTTTCAACACTGGGAGGATTTGTCTTTGGATGTTCATACAATCTGTAAAAATAAATAACTAAAATAGAAAAATAAAACAAATCTGCACATCCATTGTGAGCTGTAGCCCTGACTATATGTGGACGTCAGTGTGTCCTTGTGTCAGCAGTCGCCTCGCTGCCTTTTGTTGCTAACAAAGAACCTGGACAGTTGAGGACGTAGAGGGAAGTGATGGATTAGAAGACAAATCCATTGGCTGCCGGGGCCATGGGGGGGTCAGCCCCTAGGGGGAGGGGGGGTTATGAATACCACAGGGAGGAGGAATGAGGGTTCAGAGATAGTTTAAAATTGTCTATCATGGACTGAATGCACTGCCCTGACAATTTGATAGCAGTAGCCTACTGATGACGAGGCATGTGCATCTGTTTCTGTCCAAGGATGACACTCTGGATCTAATTATATTTAAATCGCAGAAGTATCCACATCCCTTAAAGTAAAGCTCTCCGTTTACATTTTTAAGCTTTCCCCCCCCGAATATTTCCTGAGAAGAGAACAAACATTTGAAATAAATACACTTTACAATGCATATGCATTAAATTACTATGAGACATGACAACAGATTTCTCCTAACTTCTAGAGACTTTGTTTTTGGATAATAAACCATATGGACCAACAATTGCAGCATATGTGAAATCAAAGCTTAAGAATAAAAGGTTGTGTTTTGACAAGTAAAAACCTCAAATCTGTGGCTTCTCTGCAGCCATCGGTCAATGCTCTGTAGATTTACCCTAATGTGCAATGAAGGGATCAAGTATTTCGGGGTATGTTTCTACCTGAGAAATAATTAATTCACCATAGTGCAGATAAGGTTAACAATCCTAAAGTTGTTCTCTAGATTTGATTGAGTCATTACAAAGCATGAAACCTGGTTAATCTGAACACATCCCTTGCAGCTGTGGCTGTATGTTGTGGAAGATAAACCGCCTATAGTCTCTGGGTTTTTGCAGACTCCTCTATTTAGTCTTTTTGCGTACACTGTAAGGCGGTTCAAGCTTTATGCCCTCTGTCTGCAGATGTTTAAGATGTTATAGTCAGTACCAATTTCCTACAGTTCAAACATATAAAAAGGTTTGATGTGACCTTTTCCCCCTGCAAACAGAGTGGTTTTATTTTATGGAATGCATAAGCAGTCATCAAAATGTGACCAGATGAGTCTGCTAGGACTCCTCCTCGAGTAAAAGGGGGAATTGTCAGAGTCAAGTTCGTGGACTTTTTTGAAGCCTT